CCACGGACGGACCCGGTGCTCGAAAATATTAGCTGGCCGTGCTCTCCCTTTGGCCTTTGCTCCTGCCCTGCCGTTCCGTGCCGTGTCACCGACGCGCCGTCCCGTGCCGATTCGCGCGCTCACCCACCGCCCCGCCCTTGTCACGCAACGCTGGAACGCGTGAGCTCTCGTGCTCGCGTAGGAGGATCGCGTGCTAGCACAACTTTTTCGTAGAGGAAGGAATCGCGTCAAACTTGGTCTACCGGGAATTCCAAAAAAAAAAAAACTTGGTCTACCGGAATGGATAAATATTTTTGGTGCCATGTGCGCAGAACGGGACGCGGTTTACCAGACGTGCCAGTGAGTTCGTAAAAAGGAAAGCCTGCACTCAAGCAAAGGTCACTCGTCGCACCTCTCTCTCAAAAAAAAATATAGAGGTCACTAGTCGCAACATTTGATGAAGGGGAGGCCTATATTTTAGTACAACTCCTCTTTTCCGGAGCACCCGGCGTCGGGTTGGATTCAGCCAAACTCTGCCCGACTCCCATTGTGACCAAGAAAGAATTCCTTGGATCTACCACTCGCTCACGCACGTGGCAGCGTTGACGCATCCGGGCTCGTGAATCGCGATGAAGATGCTGGTACGAGTACCTTTCTCGTTTGTTTTGCTTGAAAGATTGCTTTGACTTGGTTGGGCGACGCGTGTGCGTCGCACTTGGAGTGCATGAAACTGAATCCTCCCCCGTTTCCTTGGATAATGCCACCTCCATTCTTAAGTACAAGTATTTTTAGAGGTTTCAACAAAAATTCCATATGGATGAGACATATTTTAAAGTGTATATATGTTCATTTTGTTTCGTATATAGTTTACATTAAAATCTTTAAAGGAACTTATACTTAGGAATGAAGGGAGTAGTAATCGGCATGGACGAACCGGACAATGTCATTTCCGATGGCTCGAATCTGATTATGAGCCAGGGCCACGTATATACTAGTAGGAGTACCTGGGTTCGGATCCTCTACAGTTAAGTACTAACTGTACCGGTACTGTAGCTGATGTAATCCACCGTCCATTGCAATCCGATGGCTCGCCTCCCTCTTCCTCCACTCACACTTTGCAGCAATGAATGATCCCAAATACTCTCTCTTCCTCCACTCACACTTTGCAGCAATGGATGATCCCAAATAGACAGCCACGACGACGACGACGACGACCGCCGGAACTGCAAAGGTAAAGAAGACAAATGGGGTACACTCGTGCAGCTTCTCGTCGGCGTCCGCTCACGTCCAGCAGCGGATTCAGTGGCCGAGCTATATCTCTTTCAACTTCGGAAGTTTGGATACTCGGCAAGTGCTTCGATGAACTCGCCTTCAAGCGCGTGTGCGTGGCACGGGATCATGATCAGGCGGGCGGTGGCCATGCCTCCCTCTTAGGGAGAAGGAGCCATCGGGACGGGGTCATGGGGATCGAGGACTCAGACTCACACGTTTCTCATGCAACTGGATGGAGCTGATAGCCGAGTCCTGCCGCTCCCAGCCATGCACGCAGACCGTTGGTGTGAACAGCCGCTTGCTTGCCGGGACGCTTCAGGAGGTTGTCGGTGTCGGGATATTTGGGATCCTCCATTGTTGCAGACATCGGATTACAACAGACGGTGGATTTATGCACTACAGTACCGGTACAGTAAGTACTTAACTGTAGAGGAGCCGAACCCGGAGTACCTCACACCAAAGCTTCCAATGTTATCATTACAGGAAATGAACTTGATTCTTACGTGACAACCTCCCGATTCCAAGGGACCACGTGAAGGTTATGATGAACAACAAACATCTATGCATTTTGCATGATTTTGACGTCCCAACAAAATGCTGGCAATCAACAGTCCAGTTATCTTCTTGAAATCATGATCCTTTACATCCTTCAATCAGAGAGTTGATCTCCGGTCGAGTATGTGAACATGCATCGTATGGGCTATTTTTTTCGCCCGCCAACAATCCATCACTTCGGCATTAGGGCAAATCATATTGAGAGGAGATCAAACTGACACAGAAACTTGGCATTAAAAAAGGGCAACCTGGTGCATGTAGCTCCCGCTTGCGCAGGGTCCAGGAAAGGGTCCGACCACTTTGGTTGCATGATTTTGACGTCCCAACAAAATGCTGGCAATCAACAGTCCAGTTATCTTCTTGAAATCATGATCCTTTACATCCTTCAATCAGAGAGTTGATCTCCGGTCGAGTCAATCCATCACTTCGGCATTAGGGCAAATCATATTGAGAGGAGATCAAACTGACACAGAAACTTGGCATTAAAAAAGGGCAACCTGGTGCATGTAGCTCCCGCTTGCGCAGGGCCCAGGGAAGGGTCCGACCACTTTGGGTCTATAGTACGCAGCCTTACGCAGCCTTTCCCTATATTTCTATAAGAGGTCACAAGGCAGCAGCTTTACCACTGCGCCAAGGCTCCCCTTCACACAGAAACTTGGCATTAAAAATGAAAATTTGTCATTCCACGTCCAAAGTAACATGAAAAGGCAAAAGGGGCGTGCTAAACAAGACATGGTCAGCTTTTGTATGAGTGTCGGCCAAGGTTTCTCAGTGAGTTTCTAGAGTTGACCAGCGATATAGTACCACAATACTTAAGATGTTAAGCAAGCTTTTCTTGTCAGAAGAACCAGATAGGTGCGAATCAACCTGTGGTTAAGTTGGTTAGCTGGACAGTGGTATCCCCAACCCATCAGGGTTCAAATCCTGGTGCTCGCATTATTCCTGAGTTTATTTCAGGATTTCCGGCGATGCGCTTTCAGTGGGAGGAGACGTTCCCGTCAACGACGAGGCGCCTACGATGACTTCGTAAAGCGTGTGTGCGTTCATAGGGGTGAGTGTATGCGCATGTATATGAGCGCTTGTGTCTGTACCGATGCTCAAAAAAGAAGAACCAGTTAGGTGTAGGTGTTTATCATGTTGGTTATCTAGAAACAGATGATACTGCCATACCCGACAAAAAGATTGATGCCAAAAACTTCGTTTCACAAGAAAACATGTTTTCCTAGAAAACTGCCGTGTGTTTAAATGTGCTACTTTTCAGATATGTGAGAACTCCGATATCGATCAATGGATATCCCAGAACTATCCAGTTGTAGAATGAATTGATATGTGCATGTCAAATTGAAGGCATGCTATATCACATCAAACATTCTCTTTCTCTAACAGCCACTGTGCTCATTTTAAGAAACACTCTGAACGATGATTCAATCCAATAGCAAAGCTGTACAACAACATTTGTCTCATTATCCTATTATTAAGTAGGAGTAGCCTTCAATTTTCTTTGCTCAAAGAGCATCATAGGTTCATGTATAACAATCAACAAAATAAAAGCTCAGATAACTAATAGTGAAGTCTTATGGCACCCAAATGCCCAATGCACCTTACATGTGTCTCAAAACAAAATATCCACTTGTGGAAACAATATAACAGCTGGAGCGAAATCTAATAGCCATGATCCCATGAATCTATGTAGTGGATACTGTGGGACATTTATCTGATAGTCACACACCATGTTTCTACAAGGCAGAGCTATCAATAACTTCAGTTGTTCTATGATAATGAAGAACGCCATTTGGATCTTTAAGGAGGACCCATCATCAAATGATGGCTAAAATAAGATGCATAGCTTATCTAGGTTTCAAAGATTCCGAGTGACTAGGAACCATATAAGCTTGTTCTCAACAAGATTACCGTCAGAGCCAATCGTCCAGACCTCAATGGTGGTAATCTTCGGCACACATTACTGACCAAAGAAAGTACTGCATTTCATACACCAAATCGCTCAGAGCTCATGGGGATGTAACATGATATAAATGAAGAAAACGTCATGCCGTGGAGAAGAAATACAGGTGACTTCACTATGCCCACTTAACATCGTGTGGCAGCTTGTTTGCAGAGAAGAGAAAAATCAGGGCTCATACAAAACAACCACAAAAGCAATAGTGAGCAGATGAATCTTAGAGAAAACTGGAGGCGGCAGCATGTCAAAAGCATCTTTAAAGTATCGAATAAGTAGTCATAACAAGGAAATTTAAATGAGCCTCTACAGAATGTACATACCGCAACACAGTAAGAAAA